TCTTGTGGCTGACTTCAGGGTCCCCAAGCAACAAATTCTCTCTCACTTGTGGCTGACTTTAGGGTCCCCGAGCAACAAATTCTCTCTCTTGTGGCTGACTTCAGGGTCCCCAAGCAAAACATTCTCTTCCTCTTGCGGTCGACTTTCGGGTCCCCAAGCAACATTCTCTCTCTTGCGGTCGACTTTCGGGTCCCCAAGCACTAAATAGATCTCTCTCGCTCGTGGCCGACTTCAGGGTCCCCACCCGTGCTGGTCCTATCGAGCAACTGGATGGCTCCCGATACCAGGTATTCTAAGCGTAAGAAGGAAGCGAAGGCTGCAAGGGCGGCACCCGCGAATCCGGAGAATTCGGTAGCTGTTAGTCAAGATACTTACTGAAATAAAACCTAGTTCTAATCAATTACTAAGTAATTCCCCACGACTTCTACTTTGAGCTGGGTCGGAACACTCTTTCAGCAACCACGCCTGACACAAACAAATTCTTGTGACGAACCCTGGCCATCCCTGAGCCACCCGACAACGACGAACCGTCACAGTGGCGCCCGAGCAGGTTAAAGTGGTTGCAAGAGATAAACCGACACCAGCGGAGTAATGTCGAGCTGGGTATATCTGGCACCAAAGAGCGAACTAACGAAATACACGGAAGAGTTCGGATTAGGAACGGCAGAAAGAAGTGAAGATTTAAGACGTTTGTTGGCAGCGTTCGCCAAAAAAACGGATCATACGGAAACGGTCAGACAAAGACTCGCGGAACTGACAGAAAAATATAGGAGAGAAAAAAGCCCGGCGAAGGAAATAATTCCGGCGATCGTGGTAACCAGGGAAAGGGAGGAGATAATGGACATAAAAGGAGCAAGTCGAGGGGACGAAACGGAAGGAAAGACAGAAATAAAAATGGAAACAGAAGTCATAGACCGGGTACGCGGATGGGGCATCCGGTACCAAGGAACAACAAATCCACTGGAGTTCCTAAGCAAAATGGAACAGTGGGCAGGCGGATACGGAATACGGAAGGACCAGCTGATACAGACGATGCCATTCATCGTGGAGGGGATCGCGAGTGATTGGTGGAACACCACGCCGAGCAGGATCGTAACATGGACTCAGCTCAGAACAGAACTTCTAGAATACTTTTTGCCGCCGAGGTATGAGGAACAGTTGGAGAATCAGATTGCACAGATGAAACAAAGAGAAACGGAGCCCGTAAGAGAATATGCAATGGGACTACGAAAACTGATGCAATTCACGAAACTCTCAGAAGAGGCCAAACTGGACCGAGTGTACAAAAACAGCAGGAGCAAGATAAAGCTGTACGCTAGGAGGGCAGGATTCAACTCGTTGACAGAGTTCCTCAAACTAGCGGAGGAGGTAGAAGGAATAGAGGCAGAGGACCGGACAAAGGCAAGCCAACCTGTGCAGCAGCTAAGACCAGAGATATGTATGCGCTGCGGAGGAACCGGACATGTGGCACGCACGTGCAACAATCCACCGAGGCTGTTTTGCTGGGTTTGTGGAAAAAACGGTACGAGAACCACGGAGTGCTGCAGGGCAGGGCCGGGAAACGCAGGAGGCCTGAGCAGATAAAGCTGGCAGCTCAGGCGGCAACAAAAGAGCCAGCAGCAGGGGAACAGTTGTGTTGCGACGGGTTTAAAATAGTAGCCTGGATAAGGGTCGGAAACAGGACAGCGAAAGGAATCGTGGACACAGGAGCATCCAGGAGCGCTATAAGCAGAAACAGATATCAAGATCTGAAACACCAGGGCAAATGGTGTGGAGCCCGTGCGCAAATAACAATGGCCAACGGAACGACGCAGAAGGCGATAGGAGAGTTCACAGCAGAAGTCCAATTTGGAGAAAAATTGTTCAGTGTGTCGTTTATGATACTGACAGAAGTAGCAGGAGGAATACTGCTGGGGATGCACTTTTTGGCAGGGGTACACATAGAGCTGGAAATAAGAGAGCCCGAAGGCGAAGCGGAACAACCGGAGACATAAACAGAGCAAGAAGACACGACAGGGGAACCATCCGAAATGGAAGTACAGGACTTTCTGAAGACACAAAGGCAAGTATTTGAAGGAATGCAGGGAACAAGTAATATAACAGAGCATAAGATTTACCTCAAGGATGATAAACCGATTAAACAGAGGTACTATCCTCGAAATCCGAAACAGCAGGCAATCATCAATGAACAGGTGAACGAGTTGTTGGCACTGGGACTCATAGAACCCTCACGTAGCCCGTACAGCGCGCCAGTAGTGCTAGTGAGAAAGAAGAACAACGTATGGAGAATGTGTGTGGACCAGTTAAGAGAGGCAAAGTTCATCAGTACAATAGATCTCAAGTCAGAATACTGGCAAATCCCAATGGATAGGGATAGTAGACAATACACGGCATTCACAGTCCCCGGTCGTGGACTGTTCCAGTGGAAAGTTATGCCATTTGGGCTAACCACAGCTCCCGCAACGTTTCAAAGAGCACTGGACTCAATAATAGGGCCAGAAATGGAGCCGCTTGCATATGCATATCTGGACGACATAGTGGTTATTGGCCGGAGCAAACGTGAACATCTGGAGAAGCTAACAGAGGTATTCAGGAGACTACAGAGCGCGAACCTGCGGATTAATCCAGACAAATGCCACTTCTTCCAAAAGGAGCTAAAGTACCTGGGACACGTCATAAGCGATCGGGGCATACGGACAGACCCGGACAAAGTAGCGGCAATTCGAGACTTACCAGCGCCGAGATCCACAAAGGAAGTACACAGCTTTTTAGGAATGGCGTCATGGTACCGACGGTTCATACCAAATTTCACCGAACAGGCAGGAGCGTTGCAAGGTTTAATCAGGAAAGGACAAAAATTTGAATGGACCAAGGAACAACAGGAATCGTTTGACCAACTGAAAACGAGCCTAACAAAGGCACCGGTACTGGCATGCCCCGATTTCACAAGGCAATTTAAACTACAAACGGATGCCAGCGACTTAGGCGTAGGCGCGGTCTTAACGCAGGACGGAGAGGACGGGGAGCATGTGATAGCGTTTGCCAGCAGGAGGTTGAGTAAAGTAGAGAAATTACAGCGCAACTGAAAAAGAATGCTTAGCAATATATTGGGGCATCAACAAGTACAAGATGTACCTCAAAGGCTATCGGTTCATAGTGATAACAGACCACATGGCTTTGAAGTGGCTAAACTCAATAGAAAGCCCGTCGGGAAGAGTGGCCAGATGGGCGCTAGGCCTACAACCATTCCAGTTTGAAGTCCAGTACAGAAAGGGAAAATGGAATGCGGTAGCAGACGCCTTTTCCAGAACACCACAGAACGAGTTGAAAACAATACAGTACACGGAGGCATGGATTGAGGAAAAATACAAGGACCTGGAACGAGACCCAAAAAACACGGAATTCAAGATAGAGGCAGGCAGGCTATATAAACTGGGTAGCAATCGGAGAGACACACAACCATGGAAACTATGCATAACTGAAGCTGAAATTCAACACCGTGGGCAACCATATGTGTGGATTTCGTGGGAACTCTACCCAGATCAAAGCACGGGAACACCACACTATTAGTAATCGTGGACAAATTCTCGAAGTGGGTAGAACTTGCAGCAATCAGACAGGCTACAGCGGACGCATTCCTACGAGTCTTTAGAGAAAGGGTAATTGCGAGAGTTGGATCGCCAAAAACTCTGATCTCGGATAATGGGGTCCAGTTCACAGGAGGAAAAACAAGAAAGCCCTTGGAAAAATGGGGGATACGGCAACAGTTGACGACACTGTACACGCCCCAGGAGAACCCTACCGAGCGAACGAATCGAACAGTTAAAACGATGATCGCACAGCTAGCAGGAGAGGATCAGACCACGTGGGACGAACATTTACCAGAGCTAATGCTGGCATACAATAGTAGTGTATCGGAATCTACAAAATATAGCCCTGCGCAGCTAGTATTCGGGAAAGAGTTAAGATTACCAAACACGATGTTCGACAGGGTAACAAAAGGATCGGGGTTACAGGAGGAAAGTATAGAACAAAGATGGAACAGGCTAAAAGGCGTACGAAAGGAGGCAACACAGTATACAGAAGAAGCCGCGGAACAACAAAAACATCACTACAATCTACGGAAAGGGGACTGGAAACCAGATGTCGGTGACTTGGTATGGTGCAAGACGCACTATCTGTCAAAAGCGGCAGAAAAATTTAACGCCAAACTAGCACCAAAGTACGACGGCCCCTGGAAGGTAACCAATTTCGTGTCACCAGTGATCATGACAGTGAGATACCAGAAAACCCGAAAAACAAAGAGTATATTCATCGGAAACATCAAACAGTACGTAGGTACAAATACAATACAGAACGAACACGATGCACTAGCAACACATGAAAAGCACAATCTATCATTGAAAACACATAACCAAACACTACACAAATGCCACTACTTCACAACACACAACTCACATAACATTAGTCATCTTACTACACCATACCCCAAACGTAAACCAACACTACACCATAACCATAACACAACACTACATCCTACACCAAAACTAAACGTTAAGCCTAACACAAACATTTGTCTCATTACAGAAAAGATGAACAAATTTACGGAAGCGGCGCGAAAATTCCGGGACAAACACGCAAAGTTACGGGCGGCACAAACGATGGCAAAACTCATAGAGCGATGGCGGGAACCGCTCAGAAGAGGACAGCACCGGCAAAAATGAAAACCACGGCACCATCCGGGAGTATCCAGTCCAGGCAAGGCAACAGCCAAACGGCCAAAACTGCCCAGGAGAAAAGGGCAACCGAGACACCGGATAGGGACATTCTAGAGCTCCACGGCATTCACAGTCCCCGGTCGTGGACTGTTCCAGTGGAAAGTTATGCCATTTGGGCTAACCACAGCTCCCGCAACGTTTCAAAGAGCACTGGACTCAATAATAGGGCCAGAAATGGAGCCGCTTGCATATGCATATCTGGACGACATAGTGGTTATTGGCCGGAGCAAACGTGAACATCTGGAGAAGCTAACAGAGGTATTCAGGAGACTACAGAGCGCGAACCTGCGGATTAATCCAGACAAATGCCACTTCTTCCAAAAGGAGCTAAAGTACCTGGGACACGTCATAAGCGATCGGGGCATACGGACAGACCCGGACAAAGTAGCGGCAATTCGAGACTTACCAGCGCCGAGATCCACAAAGGAAGTACACAGCTTTTTAGGAATGGCGTCATGGTACCGACGGTTCATACCAAATTTCACCGAACAGGCAGGAGCGTTGCAAGGTTTAATCAGGAAAGGACAAAAATTTGAATGGACCAAGGAACAACAGGAATCGTTTGACCAACTGAAAACGAGCCTAACAAAGGCACCGGTACTGGCATGCCCCGATTTCACAAGGCAATTTAAACTACAAACGGATGCCAGCGACTTAGGCGTAGGCGCGGTCTTAACGCAGGACGGAGAGGACGGGGAGCATGTGATAGCGTTTGCCAGCAGGAGGTTGAGTAAAGTAGAGAAATTACAGCGCAACTGAAAAAGAATGCTTAGCAATATATTGGGGCATCAACAAGTACAAGATGTACCTCAAAGGCTATCGGTTCATAGTGATAACAGACCACATGGCTTTGAAGTGGCTAAACTCAATAGAAAGCCCGTCGGGAAGAGTGGCCAGATGGGCGCTAGGCCTACAACCATTCCAGTTTGAAGTCCAGTACAGAAAGGGAAAATGGAATGCGGTAGCAGACGCCTTTTCCAGAACACCACAGAACGAGTTGAAAACAATACAGTACACGGAGGCATGGATTGAGGAAAAATACAAGGACCTGGAACGAGACCCAAAAAACACGGAATTCAAGATAGAGGCAGGCAGGCTATATAAACTGGGTAGCAATCGGAGAGACACACAACCATGGAAACTATGCATAACTGAAGCTGAAATTCAACACCGTGGGCAACCATATGTGTGGATTTCGTGGGAACTCTACCCAGATCAAAGCACGGGAACACCACACTATTAGTAATCGTGGACAAATTCTCGAAGTGGGTAGAACTTGCAGCAATCAGACAGGCTACAGCGGACGCATTCCTACGAGTCTTTAGAGAAAGGGTAATTGCGAGAGTTGGATCGCCAAAAACTCTGATCTCGGATAATGGGGTCCAGTTCACAGGAGGAAAAACAAGAAAGCCCTTGGAAAAATGGGGGATACGGCAACAGTTGACGACACTGTACACGCCCCAGGAGAACCCTACCGAGCGAACGAATCGAACAGTTAAAACGATGATCGCACAGCTAGCAGGAGAGGATCAGACCACGTGGGACGAACATTTACCAGAGCTAATGCTGGCATACAATAGTAGTGTATCGGAATCTACAAAATATAGCCCTGCGCAGCTAGTATTCGGGAAAGAGTTAAGATTACCAAACACGATGTTCGACAGGGTAACAAAAGGATCGGGGTTACAGGAGGAAAGTATAGAACAAAGATGGAACAGGCTAAAAGGCGTACGAAAGGAGGCAACACAGTATACAGAAGAAGCCGCGGAACAACAAAAACATCACTACAATCTACGGAAAGGGGACTGGAAACCAGATGTCGGTGACTTGGTATGGTGCAAGACGCACTATCTGTCAAAAGCGGCAGAAAAATTTAACGCCAAACTAGCACCAAAGTACGACGGCCCCTGGAAGGTAACCAATTTCGTGTCACCAGTGATCATGACAGTGAGATACCAGAAAACCCGAAAAACAAAGAGTATATTCATCGGAAACATCAAACAGTACGTAGGTACAAATACAATACAGAACGAACACGATGCACTAGCAACACATGAAAAGCACAATCTATCATTGAAAACACATAACCAAACACTACACAAATGCCACTACTTCACAACACACAACTCACATAACATTAGTCATCTTACTACACCATACCCCAAACGTAAACCAACACTACACCATAACCATAACACAACACTACATCCTACACCAAAACTAAACGTTAAGCCTAACACAAACATTTGTCTCATTACAGAAAAGATGAACAAATTTACGGAAGCGGCGCGAAAATTCCGGGACAAACACGCAAAGTTACGGGCGGCACAAACGATGGCAAAACTCATAGAGCGATGGCGGGAACCGCTCAGAAGAGGACAGCACCGGCAAAAATGAAAACCACGGCACCATCCGGGAGTATCCAGTCCAGGCAAGGCAACAGCCAAACGGCCAAAACTGCCCAGGAGAAAAGGGCAACCGAGACACCGGATAGGGACATTCTAGAGCTCCACGAGGAGGAGGGAGCAATCCTGTCCAGAACAGCCAAAAACGACATTAAGGAGAAGCTGGTAGGGAAGAAACCCGGAAAGCAGCAGCGCTGGCTGGTGAAAGATGGAGAGAAGATTTGGCGAGTAATTGCAAATAGGGGGAACTACGTAACAATTATACAACACCACTCGAATCCATGACGGGGGGTAGTGTGACGCTGCGCGCACAATAAATAAAAGCATGAATTAAATGAATAAGAATGAATTAAATGAATAAGAATAAAAGCATGAAATAAATGAAGAAAACAAAAGAAGTATTTAATTTCAAATTCAAACCGAGAACGCGCACGCGGGGCACACTAGACCGAGAGACATGGTCACACTTAGCCCGGCAAATCCCACAGACGACGGGCACACTAGATTTCGCCGAGCCCTATATAAGACGGGCCACGGGCCATAGACAGCCAACCGTCTAAGGGTATAGAGGCAACTCCCCAGTGGTGGTAAGCAGCAAAGTCATTTTTTGGTGGACTAGATCATTCGATCCAAGTCCGCTTATATATTGTAGTTAGCTCCCGTAGTACTTCCTCCTCCCTCTAACCTTCTCGGCTTGCCGACCTGAAGGTGTCCCTAGGAGACGTCCGATTTTAGGATCACACCTCCTTACGGCACGGTTCACCGGCTGACTTCTCTCTCTCTTGCGGCTGACCTCAGGGTCCCCAAGAACTTCTCTCTCTCTCTTGTGGCTGACCTCAGGGTCCCAAAGTAATTCTCTCTCTCTCTCTTGCGGCTGACTTCAGGGTCCCCAAGCAACCAATTCTCTCTCTCTTGTGGCTGACTTCAGGGTCCCCAAGCAACAAATTCTCTCTCACTTGTGGCTGACTTCAGGGTCCCCGAGCAACAAATTCTCTCTCTTGTGGCTGACTTCAGGGTCCCCAAGCAACCAATTCTCTCTCTCTTGTGGCTGACTTCAGGGTCCCCGAGCAACAAATTCTCTCTCTTGTGGCTGACTTCAGGGTCCCCAAGCAACCAATTCTCTGTCTCTTGTGGCTGATTTTAGGGTCCCCGAGCAACAAATTCTCTCTCTTGTGGCTGACTTCAGGGTCCCCAAGCAAAACATTCTCTCCCTCTTGCGGTCGACTTTCGGGTTCCCAAGCACCATTCTCTCTCTTGCGGTCGACTTTCGGGTCCCCAAGCACTAAATAGATCTCTCTCGCTTGTGGCCGACTTCAGGGTCCCCAAGCATCCCATTCTCATTTCAGGTAACCCCACCCGTGCTGGTCCTATCGAGCAACTGGACGGCTCCCGATACCAGGTATTCTAAGCGTAAGAAGGAAGCGAAGGCTGCAAGGGCGGCACCCGCGAATCCGGAGAATTCGGTAGCTGTTAATCAAATGTCAAGATACTTACTGAAATAAAACCTAGTTCTAATCAATTACTAAGTAATTCCCCACGACTTCTACTTTGGGCTGGGTCGGAACTCTCTTTCAGCAACCTGACACAAACAAATTCTTGTGACGAACCCTGGCCATCCCTGAGCCACCCGACAACGACGAACCGTCACAACTGCTCCATACTGTCCACAGGAGAACCCTAGCGAAAGGACAAATCGGACTGTCAAGACGATGATAGCCCAACTCACCTAGGGGGACAAGGCCCGACTCCCTACGACGAGGTCAGCCCCCGGATCTGCGGTGATAGCTAAGGTAAAATGACGGTCCTACACCTTAACGAGGTTCACATCCGCTAAACTTGTTCTTTTGCAACGTCCTGGAGAAAAACGCTCCGCCAACATCAGCCAGCTGAAACCCTACTACTCTGAAGACTTCGAGAATGCAGCCGCAGAAGAAGGTGACGAGACTACCCAGGGAGTTGACACGAGAGGACAAGCAGGGTAGAAGGTTACACGGTAATTTCTGAGTTAAATGTTAGTACAACACTAATATTTAAGTAATCTAAGTCGACTTTCGGCAGAAAAATGTAAGACTTCCTAGACGAGGCCAATCCAGTGTACCATCTTCGTCTTAGCGCTCTCTTCAACAAAATATCTTCTAACCTTCTTCTATCCTAACGCATAATGATAGGATAAAAGAAGGTTAGAATTTATTTTTTTTAAGGCTTGAGTTATTTTTTAAAAAGAGAGAGATGTAGTATGCACTATGTCTCATGAATCTCAAGTGGACATTCTGATCGCATGCGATTCCAATGGAAGGCACTAATGCTGATTTTGCACACTGCCCTCTCCATGTGTGCATGCTAAATCTAGCTAGTGCAGAGAGTTGGTATGTAGAACCTTTTGTTTTGCTTTAAGAATGATTCAATAAAGAGAGCTGGAAAGCAAAACAAACATCCCAATATCTTTTTCGCCCCCTCCATCCTGTACTTGGTTCAGTGGTTCAAATACGTAGAATGAGTAAAAATAATTTGGTATGTTTCGGAAATAAATGCAGCCTCGTAATTAAGGCTGACCAGTCTAACATGACTTGCTGGCTGTGTGAAAACATGGTGCACATCAAGTACGGTGGTTTTACTGGCCGGACAAGTGATGACCTTTCAAAGGGGCCCACTTCACAGTGCTTTGTCGAGGTTGCGAACGAGATGAAATCATTCATGCGCCAAACAAAAGGCGGCTTGATGGGGCTGATTAGATTTTTCGGCGTTGCTAGAGATAGTTTTCGCCGAGCTGATGATCTTCTCTCTGCGCTGGACTCGCAGTTTAATAGTAGTAAGCTATTAGATGAGTCCCCTAAGTGCAAAAAGGCCGCTGGTGGTAAGGAGCAAAAGGGGAACACCCTGCAACCGCAATCAAAAGAAAAACAGAGCATTCCGGAGGATCAGCAGCTGATTGCAGCAAACCCTCAAATGTTGCTAAGATCAGCAGCTAAAAAAGATTCGGTATCAGAACAATCCGTAGCAGAATGCATGCAACCAAGGACTTCCGATTTGTCCGTAGTGGTTTCACAATTAGTGGAAAATGTAGCTACGACTACTGAGTCCGGTTAACCGGCTCAAGTTGGTTTTGCAGAAACAATGTCTGCTCCACCAAAATCCCTTTCAGTGGTTCCACTAAAGAAACAAATTTTCGTTTCTCGGCTCTTCCCTGACATCTTCCTTGCTCAAACCGCTGGTTCCGTTAAAATTATTCAACTAACACCGAGACTTAGTCGCTATCGTTTTCGGACCATTCCTCGTTTACTAGGTGGGGTGAAAAGTAACTTCCTTGACCGCCAGAATGTGCTACTACTGCAAATAAGGTTATGGTTCATATTTAGGCAAGCATACCAAATTTCAGTGCGATACTGCCCTTAGTTTTGTTTTGGCAGCTGATTGTTGTTGACGTGCTTGGCATCATGTTGAATATGGACAAAAACGATTTTCGTTCTCTCATAAATCATTATTTTTTGAGAGGCAAAACGGCGAAGGAAACAAAAGAAAAATTGGACAAACATTATGGGGCAAATGCTCCGTCAGATTACACCGTGAAATATTGGTTTCGAGAGTTTCGTGGTGGCCGCAACTCCACTACCGATGAAGTCCACAGCGGCAGGCCTTCCGATGCGGTTATAGAGGACCATGTCAAAAAAAACATATGAAATGGTATTGGCTGATCGCAAAGTGAAATTGCGCGAGTTAGCAGATGCCACAAAGATCAGTACTGAGCGCACACGCCATATTTTGAGCGAGATTCTGCATATGAAAAAGTTATCCTGCCTCTGGGTGCCGCGCATGCTCACTACGGACCAAAAACTCGAACGCGAGAGCAGTTCGAAAGAGTGTTTGGACTTACTGATGCGGAATCCGGCGGACTTTTGGCGTCGATTGGTAACTGTTGATGATACCTGGATCTACTATTAAACACAAGAGAACAGAATGAGTGCCCGGCAATAGACCAAAGCCGGCACGAGTGCTCCGAAGCGGCCGAGGGAGGCTCGATGGGTCGGAAAGGCTATGGCGTCAGTTTTTTGGGACTACCTCGAAAAAGGAAAAACCTTCACGCGAAAAAAATTTTGTTTTTGCAAGACAATGCACCGGCGCACAAGAGCGTAGCAACAACGGCTAAAATAAATGACTTAGGGCTCCAATTGCTTCGGCATCCACCTTATTCACCCGATTTGGCTCCCTCGGACTATTATCTCTTCCCGAACCTGAAAAGATATCTCATTAATACAAAATTCAGCTCACGCGAGGAAGTCATCGACGCCGCGGAGGAGTATTTTGCAGACGTTCCGAAAAATTACTTTTCGAATGGGATCAAGAAGTTGGAAAATCGCTAGAATAAGTGTATTGAGCTAAAAGGGGACTACATTGAATAAAATAAAAAAACATTTGAGAAACAAAAATTTTTTCATTCCCAAGGAGGTTACTTTTCACTCTATCTAGTACTTTTCGGAGTAGTGCCAGTGTTTTAGCTGGGAACTAAGATTTTCTATAACTGTTTTCTGCTTTAACTTGATCTGCATGCACAAAATTTCGCGATAAAATTGTCGAAAAGCCTATTAATATACAGATAACTTGTTTCACAGTGTGTTTCGTCTTTCCTCTATTACCCCGCCATTTTGCTAACATGCCATAGAATTTTTTAATATTGGACTACAATAAATAAGATTTTAAGCATTTGATTTAATTTGATCGTCTCTTGTCCCACGTGGCAAAATTAAAATGGGTTTTTTGAAATTTCCAGCTAAAATGTATAACACCTCACATTAACAAGTCATTTTGTCTAATATGCACATTCGTCTTACAATTTTTGAGAACCAAAACCATACTGGAAATATTCCAATACTTCAAAATTTAGAAAAAACCAAATGGGATGACCTGTGATTTATGACGTGTTCGCGATTTCTAAAGAAGCAACAATAGCAGATCCAAATCGGCCTCAGTTCTACCTATTATGTGTTAAAGATGTATATAGTTTCTTGCTCTCAACTACATTTGATTTGATCGAATATAATTGAGTTGTTCTGTTTAATTTTTCCTAATTTTAAGACGAGCTATAAAATAATAAAGACATGTGCTTTGTCTCTCTATTTCTAATTTTTCGATAGCTGTAAAAGTTCAATGCCGTAGTCTCTCTTATGACGTTTTTTTAATAAGATCACGATAAGAGTATAATTATAGCATGATGATCCTCATTATAGCGTCCTCTATGAATCCTGGCTTTTTATCTGCGTTATTAATTTTATTATAAGCAGGTTTAATGTCCTTAATGTATGCATTACATTTCTGCAGCATAGACTGAAGTAATTTCACTAACGCAGCGACGGAGTTTTGTATTCCTGTGAGGAGTTAAATAACACATTCTGGCGTATTAGACCGGCGGGTCTGTCAGAGTCGATCAATAGAGTACTGTGACGAGGAACCGTGAGCTCGGGGGAAAGGTTGTTTTAAAACCAGTGTGCCGTGCTCGACTGAGCAGGACCTGGCGCGAAGGACGAGCGGTCGATCGATTTGTGGCTTCAAGAGGCCTTGTCCCGGAGAGCCCTGCGATTGCCGACGAAGTCCTGGAAACAGACACTGTCCGACACCCCGAGAGCTAGAGTACCACACTACCAGCCAGGAAGGGCGACCATTCGACCAGTTGAGGAATTCAAGAGGCGTTGTCCTAAAGAAGCCCAGCGGTTCAGCAAGTCCCGGAACGGCGATCGTCCAAAAAGCAGTGCAGAGGACATTGGCAGTGACGCCAGCAGACATTAAAGGCAGCCGCGTCACGATCGCGGGGAGCGCAGGAAGCAATTGGGCTGGGTGAAACGTTCGTCTGCATTAGGCGTAAAGCAAAATGAACTGCTAGGCAGCTTCCTGGCGTTAGCCTGGACTGTGAGCGAACCGAGCGAAACCCTAGTTGGACCGTCCGGGACAGAGCAATGGACAGGCGATCATTGTGTCAAAAAGCGTTGTCCTGGAGAGCAAGGCCTGTTCACCCTAGTCTGAGAACGGTGACGCTTCCCTAAGCCGGCAAGGCCGATCTCTCTGCGAGTCCAAGGCGCGACAAGCGGCTTTGAGTCAACGCGTCGGCGAGCGAGCAGAGGCGAATCACTACCAGCATCCCGAGACGCAAGAAGGAGCCGGCGGTTACCAAGTCAACGCGTCGACAACCCAGGACGAGCAATACTAGCACCCAGTGAAACCATCGCGAGGCAATACTGAGACCAGCCAAGCCATACACCCGCTGTAACAAATAGCACAAGAATAAACCCACTGTTACCATTCGAATCCTGTGTTGTCTCACTGATCTGCGGGCAATCACGTCATATAAATTTGGTTGGACGAACACACAATCTTCTGAGCTAGTCGCAAAAATCTCGTAGCGAGCTTACACAAATAATTAGTTCGTTACATCTGGCGCCCAACGTGGTTGGCCGAACAGTGACAGTAAAAGAATCAGAATGGGAAAGAAGTGGATTTACCGCCTCAACAAGGAGGACTTCGTCGGTTTCACACAGAAGCTTAATATCGACCTGGATGGCAGATTGGACGACATGAGAAACGCATTGTCGGAATATTATTCAGAAACAGAGAACGATCCACAATATCTGGGTCCTCATCCATATCTGGCCCGAGCTGGAGGCAGCATACCACGACAGAGCCGGCCCAAGCATCACCTTAACAAACGCCGAAGGGGACACCCTAGTGGCAAGCCTAAGCATTGACAACTTGTTAAAAGAGGCCCACAGGAGAGAGTCAAGCCAGGAAAGGAAAACGGCAGCCTTGATCTCGAGACCCGGCATTCAGACTATGCAAATGTCGCTAAACAAGTCCGTGAATGGTCGTTCAGGTTCGACGGTACGGAAAAACCATTCGAGTTCCTGGACCAAGTAGAATGGTCCGCCAACACATAGCGACTTGACTCCCCGAGCGATGCCGGAATTGCTTAAGGGAAGGGCTTTGAAGAAGTTCATCGCCAACAAGCAATGGAAAACCTGGGCGAAATTCATAGAAAGCTTCAACACCTATTTTCTGCCGAGAGATTTCTTTACCAGGCTGGCGGATCAAGTCAGGCAACGGAAGCAGGGCTTCAGCGAGCGACATGCAGACGATGGTGAGGCCACTCAACTACTCGCCGAAAGAGACCCTACGAATTATTAAGGAGATCAAAGGATCTTTATAAGAGCGTACATGGTGTCAGACCTCGATACGCTAATGATCTTAGCCGACGAGTAAGAGCAATTGGAGCTTTCTCCAAGCATTCGCACAGGAGAACGAGTTCTCGAGGACCAATGCAAGTCACGAGCAGAAGGTGCGAAGGTACGGGCAACCAGGATAAACGGGGAAATGAGTGGTCATCACCACACCAAGTCCAACGGCAGCAGACACCCGAAGCACAGAGAGGAGGTCAATGGACACCACCCCAACAGCAACAGAGAAAGCCAAACAATAGAGGCAGCCAAGCACCACACAGAGGCCACCAAATGCAACCCATATCACAGACCCGCAGGAGACCTGTCGAAAATGTGGTGGGAACGGACACTGGGCTCAAGGATGTCGAAACCTACGGCTGTTGTTTTGCTGGGTATGCAGTGGGCGTCAGAAGCATCGAGTGCTGCCAACAATCGGGAAATGGCCAGCGACCTCAGCCCCTCAGTACAGATGCGAGCGCAGTAGTTAGTTGTAGCTTTTTGTGAATCAAGTGAAACAGAAAGTCAAAACTAACAGTTGCAATTGTTATACAACCCGGGCAAAGGGCCTTTGTATACAGGAAGTCGATATAGCAGCGCTCAGCGCTGCCTAATCTCTTATGGCTGATCTTTCGAACTCCGAAGATGAGCTAAACATTAGAAAATCTGTGGCTCTACAGCAACAGAAAATTAAAGAGACACTTAATTGCCATCTTGACTCCAAAACACCGAATTCAGTCACTAAAAATCTGAGAAATTCCAGTAGCCAAAAACTATAGTTTCTGCCAACCGTTTTTTAGTACTGTCCAATATGGACATAGACATCGAACCCGTCGAAGTTCCGCAAACCGATTTTAAAAGAGCCAGTTTCTCTACCAGCAACATCAACGTCGTCAACACCAAAGGACAATTTTGCAAGTAAGGCACTCGGGGGAGTAAGAATGCGGTCAGTAGAAAAATAAGGTTAGGCAGCAAGAAGTGTAATCGGTGCAGTAAAACGGAAACACGAAGAAAGGCGAAAGTGAATAAAAATAAGTGAAATGTATGTACATATATGCAAAACGACAAAGGATGGTTTTAGTGTTTATTATTATTTTACCTCCACGCACCCTTTTCCTCAAGTGACTTAGAATTTATCCGTTGTTTAGGTCAGTGGCCCACTGCACCGCCGCTGCTCACTAAGCTCTCCGAGCTTTCGCTCTCGCACCTCTTGCGCTCCCTCGCTCACTTTCTCGCAACGTCCACGCTTCAGAGCGCGAGCCTCGGGTTTCGGATCCGAACTCCTCGGTCGGCCGCTGCCAATCTCCCGCTCTCGCTTCAGCGGAGTGAAGCGGGCGGGAGCGCGGTTTTATGTTTATGTTAAGTTTAGTCTCATGTGTGCAGCGTAATAAAGCTGACCACCATTTTGAAGTACCATGACGGCCCCGACTTCTTCATTTTCGTTCACTTTGCGTTCGCGGCTTGGGATTTTTGTGGTGCCTTTCAAGGAATCTTTTAGTGGCAGGATCGCCCTTCTACATCATTTGGTCCTTCGAGCCGGAATAGGATATCCTTCCGCCACTCAACCAGCAGTTCCGCTAAAAGATAAGTACAAGCCTTTTCCGTCTCTTTCTCGCTGGCGGTCTTGAGCAGTGGTCCGAACATTGAATTTCGTTCACACTGCTGTAAGATCAATTTTTTCGTGTCAACTCCACGTCCGAGTTTGCCCGACACAACGGCAGTCGAGCTGCTGTCGCGATATTTTTTTTGTTTTGTTTTTTTCTTTCCACATAATTTTCTCTGTTCCGTCACTTCAAATACAGTCTACTTCTCGACGCTCTACTGTACCAATACATGCCCTTACACATACAACACATATATCCATAATTGCATGCATGCCCATATATAAATAAATATATTTTCTTCCTCCATAAATGTTTCACAACTACAGTCCACTTATAAAGTTTCCACTGTATGACAAAGAGCAGCATCCAACACATACGCTCACACATACATATTGTGCATGCTCATTCCGCAATTATTAATTTTCTGCCTTCACATACAGGAATTTACATACGCGTAGTCATACCAAGCCAAAAGAAATTAAAGCGTGACAAAATAGCAAATATTTTAAATAAAATAAACGTGCGACCGCGGTTGTTTTTTTTTCAAATTGCCGCATTAGCCGCCGCAGCGGCCGTGTTGTTATTGTTGCAGTTTTTTCCTTATCTTTCTCTCCCGGGTCCCTCACTCTTGCACTGCGCTGCCGACGGCATAACCCAAACCAAAGTCTTAATTCCATCGTCCCGGCTCCGTTAATTATATATATTATTAATTTATAATTATAATTATTATTTAATTATAAATATTATTTAATTATTTTCGGCCAATGGATAGTAATTAATTAATTTATTTTTTATTGCGGTTTTCCTGATTTTCGTGAGATCGAAAATATCATTCCCAACCCCCAAAAAATAAATAAATACAATTAAATTATTTAGCAACCAATAACAAAGGTAATAATTAAAATAAACAAAAAAAAGGGAAGTGAACTGTAGTATGCATGTATCATTGTAGCGAGTACCCACTGTACCGACACCAACATGGTATTAGAGTGTACTTAAACAAATACAAAAGCGCCGGCCGCTAAACTTTTGCGGCCAGCCGAAATATGAATGCGCCTCAGAGCCCAACATATGGGAAGTGCTAGTGTCAGCATATTCCCATGGCCTGAGTGCAGACACATACAAGGCATGCATGTACAACTTCCCTCGCGCTCTCAGTGCTACCAGCACAAATACAATTGCGAGCATATACTAAGATATATATGACGGCCGCTGCCAATGTTTGCAGGCAGCGTAGCCGCAAATAGCTAGCTGTAATTCATTATTAATTTGACGATTCAATAATAAAGATCTGCCCATGGCAAAGTAAAGAAAAGTGACTATTCTTTTTTATAAAAAATATGATGGCATTATTATAACATGGCGACCGTGACACTGGTCCTGGAGGACCTAGGAAGGAACAACTGCACGAAAGGAAAATTTGCAGCTACAAATCTGGATACCAAACAACCTGAAACGCTGCGGCGATAAGTACCATTTATAAAATTTCATAGAGTGACTTGGCGGAGCGGAGCACATTTACGGGCAGAGGACCAGGAAATTGATGACGACTTCATACAAACTGCAACTGGAATCTGGAAATATAAATCTGAGTGAGTAGAGATGGAGTTATGGCAAAACGTAGAGACGTGCAAAACAAAATAAAAAAATAAAAAAAGTGGCTATTATATAAAAACAATCCAGCACCGCCCTGGGCAACAGCCCAAAAATTACAAAAGAACTTGATTTTCTTAATTCAAGTCTTGTAAATAAAAAGCCAATCACTCCAGCTCACTCAGTGATTAAGAAAATTAATGACGACACAAATTAACACCTCCACCTCCGAAGCAGTTTCCAAGAAGAAACAAAGTGTGCCCGAAAGACGACTGCCCTGGACGACTGGAAAGCCCATTTTGCGAAGGCACCTGCGAAAAACCTGTGCGATGACCGGCACCGGTACTGCCTGAGCCCATAGGCCCAGGACATCAGCAGCTGAGACAACAAGTGTGAGGGGTAGGCCGCCCCTTACGCCAGCGAAGGAGCATCAGCGAGCCAAGCCGGACCCTGGAGAAGTGAACCGACAGCGCTTCCAAGAGCGCACATCTTAAATTTTTTTTTATTATTTTATATGCATCTGCGATGCAAAAACTTATAATTAACAATAATTGTAAAGACCAGGCAGTTTTATACACATACCAGAAAATTTAAACAAAAAAATTTAATTAATTAAATACACATAAATGCCTAAGACAAAAAAAAATAATAAGAGAAAAAGGAGAGGAGGTCAGAAGAACTTCCTGAATTTAAAAATAAAAGAATTAGAACTATATGCTGAAAAATCTACCCCAGTATCCTGGGATGATAATGTAGAAATTAAGAAAGAAATAGAGAACACGTATAGGGAATTAGATGCCTACAAAAATAAAAATTATATGAAGGAGGCTAGAAAACCAAAGTGCAGTTTACAGCAGATTGTAAAGGGCCTTTCGAAAATACAGCTTGCGAGTATTATTATTTTGATGGAATCATAGGCATAGATTTTATGAAAAAATACAATTGTCAAATAGATTTAAAACCAGAAAACGATTGGCTCATACTGAGACCAGATAACCTCTATAATCCGATTAATATTCCAATAAATCTAGAAAATAATTTGACAATTCTACCAGCAAGATCCGAAGTAGTCCGAAAAATTGCTATAAATTCAGCAACCAGGTATATATTAATACCAAACCAAGAAATCCAAAATGGTGTATTCATTGGAAATTCCATTGGAGATTCTAAAAACACTTTTGTCCGAATTTTGAATACAACTAATAAAACTGTAATCATTCAGTTAAATACAATGAAAATTGAACCATTGGATGATTACGACATAATTAAATATAATAAAAATGTAAACAAAGAGAAATTATAGAAAAATTAAACAAAAATTTTCCACCTCAGTTCAAGGAAATTCTTAACGAATTATGCACAAAATACACAGATATATTCGGAAAAGAATCCGAATCAATATCAACTAATAATTTTTACAAACAAAAAATAAGAATGAAAGATGATGAACCGGTATACATAAAGAATTATAGAATTCCCCACAGTCAAAAAGACGAAGTAGAAAAACAAGTAGACAAATTAATTTAAGACAAAATAGTAGAACCTTCAGTTTCATAATACAACAGTCCATTACTAATCGTCCCGAAAAAATCATTACCAAATTGTGATACTAAAAGATGGCATTTAGTAATTGATTACCGCCAAATTAACAAAAAAATTTTATCAGATAAATTTCCGCTACCAAGAATAGACGATATTCTTGACCAATTAGGTAGAGCTAAATACTTTTCATGTTTAGATCTAATGTCAGGATTTCATCAAATAGAACTCGAAGAAACGTCTAGAAATATAACATCCTTTTCCCCGAGCAATGGCTCCTATCGCTTCACGCGATTACCTTATGGTATAAAAATAGCGCCAAATTCTTTCCAAAGAATGATGACAATTGCATTTTCAGGTATCGAACCTTTACAGGCATTCTTATATATGGATGACCTAATTGTCATCGGTTGTTCAGAAAAACATATGATTAAAAATCTTACAAACGTTTTTGATTTATGCAGGAAGCACAACCTTAAATTTCACCCAGAAAAGTGCTCATTTTTCAGATACGAAGTGACCTTCCTTGGACACAAGTGTACTGAAAAAGGTATTTTGCCAGATAATAAAAAATACGATGTAATAGAAAAATAACCAGTCCCAACGGACGCAGACAGCGCTAGAAGATTCGCAACAAAAATACAACTGAACAAGAATTAGCAGTGATCCACTGGGCAATAAATCACTTTCGACCATATATTTATGGAAGACATTTCACAGTCAAGACAGACCATAGGCCATTAACTTACTTATTTTCGATGACAAGCCCGAGCTCAAAACTAACGCGAATGAGATTAGACTTAGAAGAATATTATTTTACTGTGGAATATCTTAAGGGAAAAGACAATCATATAGCCGATGCGCTTTCAAGAATAACCATAATGGATTTAAAGAATATTCAAACGAATAATAAAATTCTGACAGTCACTACCAGAAACCAAAGTAAACAGAAAAATTCCTGCGCAGGAAATGAAAAAGAAAAAATAGATTTGCCTAGGCAAACTCTAAATAAAGCTTCTCAGCCCAACGTATACGAAGTCATTGTAAATGACGAGTAGTCCCCTTGCATATAACAGATTCACTATGTTTACTAAAGCATGGAAAAAAGTTATAGCAAGAATTGAAGTTAGCGATATGTACACCAATGGAATTCTCGACTTAGGTCAGTTCTTTCAAAGGCTTGACAAAGAAGCCGGTATACTTAATATCAGCAAACTCAAAGTGGCACCGAGCGAAAAGATCTTTGACACTACATCAATAGAATCTTTTAAAATAATGGGCAATAAAATATTACAATCTCTAAGAGTAGCGCTACTCAAGCCGGTGACCCTATTATCAAATAATGATAAAGAGAAAGAAGCATTACTGTTTACATTCCATGACGATCCAATACAAGGAGGTCATACATAGCTAGAACATTAGCAAAGATAAAAAGGCATTATTATTGTAAAAATATGACCCGATTTAAAACAAATTATATAAGAAAATGCCCAAAATGCCAAAAATCCAAAACAACAAAACATACAAAAACACCATTGACGATAACTGAAACGCCACAAATGGCTTTCGACAGGGTAATTGTGGATACGATCGGTCCACTACCTAAATCTGAACAAGGAAATAAATATGCAGTAACCCTAATCTGCGATACCAATCCAAAACAAAAGTGCAAAAACAGTAGCAAAAGCTATATTTGAAGATTTTATTCTAAAGTACGGTCCAGTGAAGACGTTCAAAGCAGACATGGGAACAGAATATAAAAATTCGATAATTGAGGATTTATGTAAAAATTTAAATATCAAAAACATAACTTCTACCACACACCATCACCAAACTGTAGGAACCGTGGAGCGAAGCCACAGAACATTTAATGAGTTTATCCGCTCATACATCTCAGTTGATAAAACAGATTGGGATGTATGGCTCCAGTACTTCGTATATTGTTTCAACACAACACCCTCTATGGCACATGACTATTGTCCATATGAGTTAGTTTTTGGTAAAACTTCAAATTTACCTCAACATTTTAATAGCATTGATAAAATAAAACCTCTATATAATGTAGATGACTACGCTAAAGAATCTAAGTTTAGACCAGAACAAGCATTTAAGAGAGCTAGATTAATGTTAGAATCTCATAAAAAGAAACAAAAAATTAGATATGACAAAAACACCTTAGATTTGGATTTAAAAATAGGAGATCAAGTTTTATTGAAAAATGAAACAGGGAATTAGCTAGACTTTAAATATACTGGACCTTATAAGGTTGAAAGTATAGAAGAAAACGATAACATAGTAATTTCAAATAACAAAAATAAAAAACAAACAGTACATAAGGATAGGTTAAAAATGTTTATTTCATAATCACTTTAATTCTCTTATAATATATCATTAATATATCAATATATTAAGAACCATAATTTAATGGAAATATAAGACAAAATTAAAAAAAAAATATATACTAAAATAAATAATACTTTCTGATTCGAAAAAAAAAACAATAATAAATTAAATAAAAAACACAAAAAAAAAAATAAATATATATATTATTTGTAGTGTTATTGAATTACTCGAGGTCATACGTTGGCTATATTTTAATTTCTTCTATAACACAACGATTTATTCCACTTAACTTTCATCACACTTACACTCCCTGGGGAGTGAACCCGACTATGATAGGACTAGCTAGTTTCGTCTGCACGTCACCTCAGACCCATCAGCTATCTACGGGGATGGAAGCAGAGCGTCAGAAACTCCCCAATGTTACGATCAGAGAAGCTTTTTGGCAATTGTGAGTTGCCAAAGTTCATTGGTTTCAACATAGGTGGAGTTCTGTCGTTAAAGCTTCTATCAGTGTGTAAAAGTTTTCAGTGTTTTGTCTGTTGAAAAACCCTCGGTTTTTTCGATATGCAGACTGGTAAATACAACAAATAGTTGAAGATTGTTTTTAATTGCTGAATTTAGGGCGAGTGGATCCCTTTTGTTTATGTTGGTTTTGTATCGACCTTGTAAACAATAATTGTAGTGTTATTGAATTACCCGAGGTCATACGTTGGTTATATTTTAATTTCTTCTATAACACAACGATTTATTCCACTAAACTTTCATCACACTTACACTCCCTGGGGTGTGAACCCGACTATGATAGGACTAGCTAGTTTCGTCTGCACGTCACCTCAGACTCACCAGCTATCTACGGGGATGGAAGCAGAGCGTCAGAAACTCCCCAATGTTACGATCAGAGAAGCTTTTTGGCAATTGTGAGTTGCCAAAGTTCATTGGTTTTAACATAGGTGGAGTTCTGTCGTTAAAGCTTCTATCAGTGTGTGAAAGTTTTCAGTGTTTTGTCTGTTGAAAAACCCTCGGTTTTTTCGATATGCAGACTGGTAAATACAACAAATAGTTAAAGATTGTTTTTAATTGCTGAATTTAGGGCGAGTGGATCCCTTTTGTTTATGTTGGTTTTGTATTTGGTAAATACAACAAATAGTTGAAGATTTTTTTTAATTGCTGAATTAAGGAAAATAACTTCATAGAATTACGTTATTTTTCAAAAGGAGGGATATGTACCGACACCAACATTGTATTAGAGTGTACTTAAACAAATACAAAAGCGCCGGCCGCTAAACTTTTGCGGCCAGCCGAAATATGAATGCGCCTCAGAGCCCAACTTATGGGAAGGGCTAGTGTCAGCATATTCCCATGGCCTGAGTGCAGACACATACAAGGCATGCATGCTACCAGCACAAATACAATTGCGAGCATATACTTCGATATATATGACGGCCGCTGCCAATGTTTGCAGGCAGCGCAGCCGCAAATAGCTAGCTGTAATTCATTATTAATTTGACGATTCAATAATAAAGATCTGCCCATGGCAAAGTAAAGAAAAGTGACTATTCTTTTTTATAAAACATATGATGGCATTATTATTATAACAAAGGGAGTAACAAGATTAATAAATACATTTTCATCGTTTTCCCAATCATTGTTCCGATTCTTCTTGTTTTTACGGCACTGTGCTTTCTACTCCGCAATAATTAACTATGTGACCGTTCTCGTTTGCCACCAGTCGACACCGAAGTTTTCGCTGGTGATTACCTGCGTTGGCCCACCTTCAGAGATCTTTTTACCGCGATATACATCCACAACTCGCGTCTTACACTGGTGGAGAAGTTGTTCCACCTATTGTCCAAAACAAGTGGCGATGCGCACGCCATTGTGTTCAAAGCCCCGCTGACTAGGGAAGGGTTTATCTCCGCGTGGCGAAGCCTCATCGACCGCTTCGAAAATCGGCGGTATCCCAAGAGTCCGGAGCCGCTCTGAAAGAGCTGCAAGGCACAAGGCCTTAGAGATGTCCTCTATTCAAGCCGAGGCTTTAGATCGGTAATCCATTCGTGGCCGCTCTAAGTCCATCTGCGCCAGCCAGGTGTCGACCCGCGCCTACTACAAGAGGCACGAGCTCCACAGGGGATCACTCTGATGTGCAAGTGTGCCTCGCTTCCGGCTAAAGAGCTTTCCTACTGGGCACAGCCCTCATTAACATTTGCCATCTAGGGTGCAATTTCTAGGCGCGAACCCTGATCGACTCTGGTTCCGAGGCAACCTTTATTACGGAGAGATTTTTCAACCTCGTCAAACTTCCATTCAAGACTATCCAGGCCCAAGTCTCTGGTCTAAGTCAAACCGTTGCCGCTCAGTCCACGAAACTCTGTCATTTTTCTATTCGATCGCCTTCCAGACCCAGGCTGCATTTAGAAACTTCAGCTGACGTTCTTCCGCAGCTGGTCGGGAATCTGCCTTCGTATCCAGTCGTTCGAGATCTTCTTAAGGGAATTCCTGACATCCCCAAGTTCTTCGAGAGCTCCCAAATCGATGTCTTGATAGGAGCCGACATTCTTCCGTCCATCCTCCTCGGCAACGCCTGGGCTAACATTTGCGGTTCACTTTTCAATGGGTGTTGACAGGCCCCATATCTCTAACGGCCCCCCGCAATGTGTCCGCCTTCTCCACGCGAGTTACCTGCGGACTTGACGACTCCTTGGATCATCTCCATACGAAATTCTGGCAGGTGGAGGAAGTGCCCACACAGATAGTCCCCGAGTCTGATTCCGTCCGTGAACACAATTTTGTCCAGACTACAAGACGGGACAATCGTGGCAATTACGTTGTGATGCGCCCCTTGCGCGATCCCGAGCATAGTGGTTCTGAGCTCGCATCTTCACGATCCTTTGCTCTGGCTCAATTCCTGTGTAACGAGCAGTGCCTAAAAAGAGATCCTTCCCTGAAGGCCCGGTATGACTCTGTGATTCAAGAATACCTCGATTTAGGTCACATGGCCGAGATCCCTTTGGCGAGCAGTTCCGCCACGTACTACCTTCCACAACACGACAGCACAACCACTAAAGTGCGGGTGGCTTTCAACTCCTCTAGCCCTTCCGCAAACGGGACCAGTCTGAATGACATACTTTACGCGGGCCCGGTCTTACAATCCGACCAATCCACTATTCAAATCCTAAAGTGGCGATACTTTAGGTTCGTTTTCAACGCCGACATCGAGAAGATGTATCTGCAAATTTGGGTAGACCCCAAGCATACTCCCCTGCACCGTATTCTATTCCGATGGGGAAATCCGCGACTACGAGTTGAAGACAGTCACTTTCGACGACGTACTCGCGGAGGCAGACTCTAAAACCGAAGCGCAAGCGGCTGGGCCCTGGGCCCTGGGTTCAGCAGGATTCCTTCTTAGAAAATGGACATCCCATTTTGGCCAACATCCAGAGTGACCATCTTCTTCGCGCGGTCTTCCTTGAAATTGACGCAGAGAGCACGGCTAAAACACTCGGCTTTCAGTGGAAGGCGATGTCTGACGAGTTTTTCTTCATTCCGCCCAAATTGATCTTGGGTTCAACGTTCACGAAGCGTCAAGTCCTATCCCAAATTGCAAAACTATTTGATCCAGCGGGCTGGCTCGCCCCCTTCATAGTCCGGGCAAAGATGTTCATGCAGGACATTTGGCTCCAAAATCTAGGATGGCCCTCCCCCGAGATTTTTGCCAAAGATGGGTTGACTTCCTGGAAAATTACTCCGCTCTCGATCAGATCCACATTCCCCGATGGGTCGCTTTCCGACCACATTTGAAAATTGAGCATCATGGGTTCTGCGACTCCTCGCAGAAGGCGTATGGCGCAGCCATTTACGTCCGAGTTGAGGCTGGGTCCGCGGTAGTGGTGAACTTACTCACGGCAAAGACGCGGGCGGCCCCAGTAAAAACGGTTTCGATCCCGCGGCTCGAGTTGAGCCTTGTTATTGTCCGAAATGGCCAACGCAGTTCTACCGAAGATGCCCGGACCGGCGCCCGCCCTGCACTGTTGGACGGACTCGACGATTATTCTCGCCTGGTTGCATAAGCCGGCATGCCACAAGACAACGTTCGTGGCAAATCGTCTGACCAAGATCACCCAGTTCACCGAGGTGGAGAAATGGGCACACGTCCGCTCCGAGCATAACCTGGCAGATCTCGCTAGCCGGGGGTGGCGCTTCAAGACCTTGCGGCCAGCCAGCTGTGGTGGCATGGTCCTGCCTGGCTGCAGTGGCCTCGCTGCGAGTGGCCCACTCAAGGACATGACCCCCGTGTCCATTTGTGAAGGCTCCTCTTGAAGACATTCTTGAGCGTTTTTCCACACTCGACAAGGCGTTACGAGTCCTCGCTTACGCTCATCGGTTCATCCAGCGCTCGCGAAAGCTCATGTCTCCGTTTGAGGATCACTTGACAGCCCTTGAAACTGCGTCGGCCGAGCGTCTCCTGATTTCCGTCACGCAGAGCAGGCACTTTGCCCTTGAGATTGTCTGCTTAAGCCAAAAACGGCCAGTGCCAGCTGGATGCCTTTTCCAAAACCTGAACCCGTTCCTTGATTCCCAAGGGCTCATGAGAGCATGCGTCCGGGTCACGGCCCCCGAACTTCTCCAGTATGATGAACGGTATCCTGTCATACTTCCATACGACTGCCATCTGTCTCGGCTCCTCGTCCATTTTACGCATCGCATAACGCTGCACAGTGGCAATCAGCTAATGATCCGTCTGATCCATTCCAAATTCTGGATCCCGAGGGTGAGGAATTTGGTCAAGTCCGTCATGTATTTTTGCAAGGTATGCGTCATCCACAAAAAGAAGTTGCAAACGGAACTCATGGGAGACTTACCTAAAGAACGGACTTCCTTCTCGCGCCCTTTCACATATACTGGTTAGTCCACACCGGTCCCTTCGGATTCGCCCCTAAGGCCATCCGTTTAGAGCCTACGTCCGACCTTACGACTGAGAAGTTTATCGCCGTCTTCGCTCCTTTCGTGTCCCGAAAAGGATGCCCCCGTCAAGTATATCTGGACAATGGGAAGACCTTTGTGGGTGCGGCTGCCCTATTATCCCGCGAGTTTCCCCAAGCTCTCAAAAAAGCTGTGACAGGTGCCTAAAGTCACCAGCAGCTGCTCTGGCAGTTCATTCCTCCGGGAGCCCCTGACATGAGAGGCTTGTGGGAAGCAGGTGTTAAAAGCTGCAAGACCCTGTTTTCTAAGTCTACGGTGATGCGGTGACACGCTCCAGAATCTCCACGAATCGCCGAAGTCTTCACGGTAGTCCCGCACGGCGGCACGCCGGTCTCAGAGCAGCGATGCCACTCCACGGCACTCTTCAGCCACTCCTCGGCCCTCGTCCGGCACTCTTCAGCTGCTTGTCGGCCCTCCACTCCACGGAATTCTTCAACCGCTCCTCGGCCCTCGTCCGCCACTCCACTCCACTAACGTCCGTCATGCTTTGGTGCGGTTAGATACCGGGACTCGAGTCTTCGACACTGCGGCGCTTATCGACCTACGAGCTGCATCGACGCTTTGCCAGCGGCGAGTTTCCGCTTGCCGACTACCAACGAGGGAGGCGAACAGATTTGTTCGGCAAAGGTGGGGTCTAAGATCGACAGCGCTGTCCGGCTCGATGTCATCTGTAAAATAGAGCCTCACGTGCGCATTCGCACTTCAATCCGGGAGCTGAGCGACGCGGTGCGGACCCACTTCCGGGATATTACGCTGGCTGACGAGCGCTTCAACCTCCCCACGACGATATCCATCATCCTGGGCGCGGATATGTATCCGAGCGTGATGCGGCTGGGCTTCCTGAAAATGCAGGATGGACTACCAGTCGCCCAGAGCACCGTGTTCGGGTGGCTCGTGTCCGGAGCCTGCCACCAGCAGTGAGAAGAGCAACCAGGCTATGTTGCAACCCGAGTAGTTGCAAGGGCGGGCGGAATGTTTAGGTCAGTGGCCCACTGCATCGCCGCTGCTCACTAAGCTCTCCGAGCTTTCGCTCTCGCCCCTCTTGCGCTCCCTCTCTCACTTCTCGCAACGTCCGCGCTCCGGAGTGCGAGCTTCGGGTTTCGGATCCGAACTCCTCGGATGGCCGCTGCCGATCTCCCGCTCTCGCTTCAGCGTAGTAAAGCGGGCGGGAGCCTTTTTTGTGGCAATAACGCCCCCTACCTTAATAATATATATATATTTTAACTTATATTGATTTAAATCTAAATCTAAATTATGTCAGTAGCCGAGACCACAGCTACTGATTGGATAGAAAAAAGGCATTATTAAAAGTATTTAATTTTCTAGGTAAACCCGTAGTACTGAAAATGGATCAAGATCCAGGTATAACCAGTAGATCATTAGGCTTATGGTTAGAAAACGACAATATAAACAATAAAATAACAAGGTTCTAAAATGGAAGAATTGATATTGAACGTTGTCATAGAAAAAAAAGAGAGAACGCTATAGTCGAGTGCCTCGACTATTAGATACCCGTTACTCAGATAAACAACTTTAGATTTTGCAATAACATAATGTGAATTAGAGTGACCACAGGGAAAAAGGACAAAAAGTTAAAATTATCAATTTGAATTAGGCGATCTCTTAGCGCTGGCAGCTTTACAGCACGAGCATCAGCACCAGCGCTGCTTTAGCAAGGCAGCTTTCGTCCTGCACCAGCATACACACATACGTCATTGTTTGACTCAGACCTCCAATTTGGCTAATTTGATTTTATATGCTTAGTTCTTGGGATATAGTTCGGTATTGACAAATGAAAACCATCGCAATTTCCTTTAATAGAAATCCTTATCGAGAATAAACGTTAACTCTGTTGAGCACCTTGGCCAGCTGTTCCAAAGCCATCCGTTAGACGGCGCTATTGTACCCGGGCCATGAAAGGCGGAAATGTAGGCGCTAGCCAGGCTTAAGCGTTTAATGAGTTTTTGGGCGTTAGAGTGGGCGTGGAAAACTTTTATTAGGCCAATCGATAGGTATTGACGAAACAAATATATATTAATTAAAATTTTCATAATAGCATGGGCGTCAGAGGGGGCGTGGCACCATTTTGAAACAAACTTGCGCTGCCTAGGAACTCCTAAAATCTACATGCAAAATGCCAATCTTCTAGCTTTTATAGTTTCCGAGATCTCAGCGTTCAGACAGACGGACAGATGGACATGGCTAGATCGACTCGGCTAGTGATCCTGAACAAGAATATATATACTTTATAGGGTCGGAAACGCTTCCTTCTACCTGTTACATACTTTTGCACGAATACAATATACCCTTTTACTATACGAGTAACGGGTATAATAAATGAAAACAAGAAAGGAAGCAAACTTCGACAAGCCGAAGTTTATATACCCTTGCAGTTATTACAAATTGACTACATTTCGATTTCTATACCTAAATTACTAAAAATAATAAAGCTGTCTCGACTTTGCATCGGAAATTTCCCCTTCACTGCGCTGCAAACTCTTGACTGAAATTATAATATCCACTGCAAGGGTATACACATGCGAATTATTAGAACGGAAAACATATTAGAAACTGTTTCAATGGATATGAAAGACACTATTTATAATTATATTATTTATATTATTTATCATGGTATTTATAATTAATGAGGAGCCAACGATAGACGTAAAACAATGTAAGGAAGATACAATTAAGCGATTAAATAAAGAGAGAAAGGAACATTAAATAGATACAGCTTTTGCTAAAGTAAATATGAAACTAAAAAGAAAATTTAAAATTGATAACCCATTAAGGAAAACTAAACAAATATGCTCGATGACACTCATTATAAGGAATATTTTAACAATAGAAATATACGGCGACATAGATCTAAATTCAAACGCATAAAATTAACGAGAAATTCGAAAGGAACGAAAATGCTAGTTCAAATGATAATCGCAGCGAACAGTTGTAAACACCTCTTAAAAACCATTGTATGAATTGAAAAATTTAACGTTGTTTAGATTTATAACTTCAACTTTAAGTTCATTTTCTAAGTCAACGTCAACGAGAATAAAACATATAATAAATCTCTGTTCAAACAATTAAAAAGAAAAATTCAAATCGACATCAAATAAAATTGAAAACAAAATAAAATACAATTATTAATTAAATTACCCATATATAATTTACCTATAGATCTTGCACTAGACACAACTAGAGAAAAATTGATAAAAAAAACAAGAGAGAACGCTATAGTCGGGTGCCCCGACTATCAGATACCCGTTACTCAGGTAAAGGGAGTGCGAGGGAGATGGAGATAGAAACTTTGATCACGCATAACTTTTTAACGAATAGTCCGATTTGAAAAATTTCTTCTACATTTCGATA